TTGGGCAGTCGGATATCCTTGATACATATTCTTGTCATGATCTTTCGATGTATGGGGACCAATATTCCCGTCAGAGATTTGTGGCGCCACTTCAAGGAGGTTCAATCTTTGCTCTGCTGAATTCACTTTAGTGGAAATAGTGATCGTCCCTCGCGAAGCTATGCGTAGAAAGATTATACCCCAACCGCAATGAACCACTAAGCCGGGGTGAAAATTTCGTGGCTAGTTTCGGTGATGTAGAAGTCTTGGAGGCCTGGATATGCTCATTTTCTATTTTAAGCGTTATTCTGTGACGACCGGCAATCCGAAACCAAGCTATCAAGGGCACGCTAACCGCAAACTAGATGCCATATTCGGCAAGTTCTCCCGACCTGCTTCGTGCAAGACGGGTCCGTGCTTTGCTGTCATTGACTTTGAATTGTCCTTGGCGCTAGTCCTACAGATTGGGGCAGTGGAATCATCGTGCATGCTAAATCTCAAAAATTCCCATTCCCATTCCAATCTAGAACAAACCGATTGACAATTTGAATACTCTCTCGCCTGACAAATTAGGAATCTCATATTTTTGTTAGGTCTCTCATACATAAGTGAGTTTATTCAGTTAAGAGTTGATTCTAATCATGGTACGAAAAAGCCTTTAGGCTATAATTATTCCGCCTCGCCGTCTAATTAAATAAAGGCCCTCAATGTATCTTTAGTTGGTAGTGTAAATTTTGAAAATTCCAACAAACGCGGACAGTTTTTGAGTAGCCATGCAGAGAATGTAACAAGCTTGCACACCCAAAAGCTAGGTTTACTTTTGTAGTTTCTTTTAAGCCCCTCATTTTAATATATGCCATAACTAAAGAATATCCAATGCTGAGAAAATCTATCCTAAACATACAGCAACTCATGAGCCTGGTGTAGTTTTCCTGATGGATGAACAATGAATCCAGGGATAGATAAAACAGACTAACTCTCTTAGATTCAAACCACAAGAATTCGACTAATGTGAAACTCTATGACCTTATCATCGTCGGATTCATCTATCTTCCACTGGTACAGGGAAGCTGATGCAGGTGGTTTATTTTAACTTTCTTTATTTACACTCTAGGGAAGTAGCATCTTAGATACTTCTTGTGGGGCTTTACAACGAGTAGAACTAAAATGAATCAGATCAACTAATGCTAGGTACAAGAGCTTGGTCCTATCTAAATGGCTAGACCAGCTCAAAGTTACACTCATATGTTGAATCATTCCAAATTTGGCCATTCAGAAAAACCCACACTTAACAAAATCGAGTCCTTATCTTACAAATTCCTCCTTGTAGTCCCGACATATCTTTATTTCAGGCTTTATTCAGTCGCCCACCAAGGTCTAATCGTCTTGCCTACCTTTTATTCCTCCATTCTTTTATCACTCAGCTCCATTTGCAAATCTATCCGTCTTAGAATCTGTCATTTTTCTAGACCCCGGCCTTTGCCCTCCGCTACCGTGCCTCTGAGGATATAGGCCTAATATATGAACAAGATCTAAAGAACAAAACATAGTAACCCTGATCTTTGTCGAATATTGTGCTTAATTTTTCGGAGCAAAATCGTACCTACCTCATTGCTGGCATTTCATCACAAGTCGAAATTATTTAAACCCTGCCTGAGTTGAAGACACATGTAAATCTTATACATCAAATGTGTCTTCAAAGCGCCAAGTGGTTCCGATAGTTGAATGCCTTATTTTATGTTTCACAGTAATTTTGATTAATTGATTTCTTCAGTGGCTGATCAGGTGACTGTAAAGGAGATCTCGAGATAAGTTTGGCTGAGAAAGATAATCCAAGAATATTTAACATTGTGAAGGTTGTCAGTTGTTTTGATAGAAAACTCTAAAGATTAAGATCCTATCTTAAATTCATGTTGGAGATAAATTTGATAGAATTCGTCGATTTGTACGGTTTTTTTATCTCTACAAGTGGATGGTCCGCTTCAGAATTGAATAACGCAGTTCTTTGCTGTCGTATCATCGGCGGTAAATGTAACAGCCACACTTTTTCATGACTGGATCTTGGCTGTAGGAGAATATCTCATCACTAGTTTCGTAGGGCTTTAATGATAAAATTTTTTATGCCGGTTCTACTCTATAATTGGCGGTGCATACTTTTCCGAGAATTTGTGGTAGCTCGAGCGCGCTTTCTGCTGTCCTGCCCATCGTCATTGTAGCCTTGGATTTACTCAAGGATGATGACAACTTGAGATCTTCAGACTCGATGATGTGATAAAATATAGCCTGATGAAGAATGTAGGGTGCAACTCTGTCTTGGCTCGGTAGATGAGCGAGAGATGGCTCGAAAGCCACAGGGATGACCGCTGATAGATATTTTGTCGCTGTCGGCTGACATTCATGTGGGCTATGAACAAGCCAGGCATGATCGGGTAGCATCTCTATACATTTGTGACTCATGCTTCAGGTGTAGATCTTTATGGATATAATTTCTGGGAAATAGAAACGCTGCAGTATGACATGGGGGCAGATTGAGTGTTTACCAGTGTTCTAGATTGCAGCTGTCCATAAAAGTTAGGGAACTATATTTCTTCAAAGATGACCAATTACCTAGCTTGAGTGTTATTATTTCTAGCGAAGAATTCCTGTAAAGTTGAATTACTAAATATAACGTAAAATATCCGCCTTTATTTGTTTGAAAATAGTTAAGCATTCTCTTATTAATCATCTTAAGCGATGCAGGGCTTGTAGGAAGTTTTGGAGGCTATTTTAAGTTAGTGACGAAGCATCCCCTTGAAGTGCATGAATATGGCCCCAATATCGCTGCTCCCATTAGTGAACCTGAGTATTTTTCTATCCCAAGACAGATATCAGGCTAGACAAACAGGAGAAAAGGAAAATACAACCCTCTAGCTAAGGCTCTCCATGCATCAACTGCAACGACTGCGTCTCCTTGAATTGGGGTTCCTAGTCCTACATTAGAGAGTATGCAAGAGTAGTGGTGAGGGTCTGAGTCAGGTATCTCCTAAGATCGATAGCCTGAACTTTCGAAAAATCGAGCGGGTGAAAGGCTCCGAGCCGATTTAACTCTCTGCCTGACTTGGACAACATGATAGGTGCCATGATAAAACCACCGACCGAAGCTTTCAGGTCTATATCAGATCACTGTCCAATAGTAGTGAAGATTGGAGGGATGAGCAAGGGGCTGCTAGGTTCACGCGTGTGGGCCACATGGATACTACCGACAGTGGTTATCTAGGCATCAGTCTATGGTGAGTTAAGTAAGGCTTAAACACTCCTGTCACCATCAACAGCCCCAGCAAAACCTGCCCTCAGGCTCTGGCCGGCGCCAAGAAGTCGAGAGGGCAACATTTCCTTTTCCCACATCGTCCCATCATCGTGGTTCAGGCCTGGTGTTTAATTGAGGCCCAAGAATTACGATTCTGGGGACCACTATGGCCTTTCAGTCAGTTCATGCTGATATTTGGGACTCTTGATCTCCGCCAAACAATTTCACAGTCTGCAAGGGTAGATGGAGGTACGCAAACTCATGCTAGACGTCACCCGCTGCTTCTCACTGGTTTTTCCCGATGTCATGTTTCCGCAAATCTTCTACTACGCATGAAGCCTAGCATTGCGCTTGATCAATTGGGATCCAGGTACGACGCTGAGTTGAGGCCGGGCAGTCCGATTTCCTGTAAGCCGTTTGGAGACGAATCTGGAAATGAATAATGGCATTGCTCACGCTTTACGGTCAGGTACAAGGACACAAGCGCCGATTGTTCTAAACTGCGACGAGTAACAGGGTCGCATGTCACTCCCCTCCATTCAAGCGCAGAAAGAAGAAATAAACCGATCAGCAGCGCTTCCTTCCTAATTCACATAATTCTTAATATTGACGCTGAGCTTTTTGATAGATGTCAAAAGTCCCACTATCCCAATCCGATGGACAGGACCTGTCATTTCAAATCAGTCAACTAGCCTCTGGAGCGGCCTTACCCTTTCGTGAGTCCCGAAACAGATAACCACTAGCCTTGCATTAGCAACATCATCATTATCATTGTTACCATCATCGCCGTCGATCGAGCGCTCCTAGCACTAAAACGATAAGCCCGCATATTTCTCGTTCTTCGTTGCATCGTGGCTGTCACCTAAACCCTTCCTCGTTTGATCCATACAGATCCCTCCCCTTCACCCTCGCTCGGATTACCCCACCCGTCAACCCGGGCGCAGGGGATTATCTGCAAGGGGAATCCATCAAATCGATATCCGTCATTAACAGACAAGCCTGCTCGCCTACGTGGGATTCGCACTTGCTCTTGCCAATTCGGCGGTACTCGTTGTTTGTCACACTCTCCCCGGAACAACTTTTTGAGGCTCGGGCTGCCTCTTAGTGGATAAAGTAAAGTTGTAATTTGAATATCGATAATCACCTCAACGGATGGAAGTTATGTCATCAGGATACCTATCGCTGCAAATTTAAGAGCTTGGACCATTCAACATAGGGCTGGCTAGTTTGTTTTCCCTCAGTCCGCCTGGGCCGACTGAAGGGCAAGTGAGAGGCTCACCCTGTGAACGACTCCCGGCAATACTGGTAACCCGTCGTTCTTCCACAGGCCATCTAGAAGTTGATCAAATACGCATATACATAGAATACTCCTTCCTTAGGCCGTAAGGTTGACAGGAATGTCAAGGTAGGGGGCCTGCAGAAACTAATAAGACAGAGTTCCGCATATCACGCAACTTGACAGGCCTAGCACATCAAATGAAGGCTCAATCAATATATCAATCAGAGCGTGGCATAAAATTAAAAAGCTGCGCAGAATCATTTAAGTCAAACTATACAGTCGCCCGTTAGAGCTAGTTAGCAAGTCGATCCACAAAATCCTAGACATTCGAAAACACTTTCACCAGTACCAACGCTTCTATATTAGACTTGAGTATCAAATTAACCACGCCTAAAATCTTACAATCATACAGTCTTTACAGTGAGGCACAGCGTAAACAACAGGGACTGTGAAGAGATGCGCAACAAGTCAGAAAAGTGGCACAGGATGACGGAACCAATTCATCGACTTTCTCGGCGCTGGCTTCACATTCTAGCCCCGCGAACTTCTAAAGCTAGCTCAATACCTGCTGCTTTACATGCTGGATGGGAAATTGGACGTAGTAATCCAGCAACCACTGGACGCCCATGTAGCACGAAGACCGTTTCTGCGGCAAGTACTCAGAAATTAAGATGCCGTCAATTAACTCCTTCCCCAAGGAATTCGACACGGAAAAGCAGCAGAGATAATACTACCATACCCTTGTCAGGACCGAATCAGAAAGCTTTGAAATGTAAAGCGGAGAATACAGACAAGAAGTGGGTGAAGAAGCATTCAAAAAGAGACTCCAAATTTTCTTGCGTCTTTGAACCTTCAAAAAAAGAAGAGACCAAGTTAGCCAACACACATCAGTCGAAAGTTGGAGGTAGGAGTCGGGAGGAAGAAAAACAGTCTATTTCTGGTGCCTCAAGTCTTACCAGTCCTTATCAGCCCTGTTTACCGCATACCATTTCTTCACCCAGTTTAAACTCTTCACCACCTACTCCAAATCCTCCTCCGCACTCGTCACATGGTACCTCACGCAGTCCTTCACGTAGGAAAAAAAAATTGATGACATCCTCCAAGTCAAGTGGTATAGATAGTTGCACCGCTATCGCTGAGCTTGAAGCGAGCTATGATGACAAGGCCACGTGCAAATTAGGTGAGGACTCAAACATTCTTCAGCAAAGTATTCAAGCTATGCAAGAGCAAGAGTTTCGTATAGCGCAAGCTTGGCTAGAAGCCGAAAAAGAGAGAAAGTTAAGTCTCTCTACAGAACAAGATACCTTCAGTGTTGGCTTAAATCGTTGGTGCTTTGATAAAAATAAAACATGGCTAGATAGCTCAGAGGCTCAAGATATGAAGTCAAGAAATCTAGATACATCTTGTCATAATGTCGGAGCAGTGAACAACTGGAATAGCCACAAAAAAATGGGCCCTTCCAGTGGTAGGCAAAGTGCCGATGGGATAAGAAAATCGAGTCGTATTCAAACTGACTGGCGTACGAAGATTAAAACGAAAGCCAACGAATCAAACGAGTGTGATGTAGAATACAGGCCGAGTTTAGATGAGAGTAGGGAAAGTAGCACACACAAGCGCTCAACCGGATCGGCTTGGTTCACAAATGAGGTAAAGGGTTGGATGAATCGACGGGCAAGTGCATTCTAGGGGAACTTCTGTTGCAAATACTGATTGTGAATGGATTTACTTGGGGTTAAATTGGAAATTATGATATGAATTATGAGATTAACGACAAAGATAACGGAGAATTCGGACTAAACGAGTAAGCAGAATTCAATGATTCCATATACTCTAGCTCGGATGAGTTGTTTCCAAGGGAAGGGGAACGGGCCATAACAGGGCTCCCTCTCGGCTAACGTAGTGCGTTAACCCCGACTCACTATATCTGTATCAAGATCTTCGAGGATTGGATCAGCCGATAGTGACATTATCAATAAATTGGGTCACTCATCTGTCATGTACTAGTGTAGGATACCAAAAAGCTTTCAATATGCTATGATGACTGGAAGATTGTTTCTCTGTGTTCTTTCAATGGGCATTACTCGTCCGGCCTCATAAATTGCTGTAAGCCGAGGTGCCGCTACGATCTAACTGTGAAGGGTCTAATCACATTAGCTATTCGCATGAAAGTGTGCCGTAAATTGAATTATATTTTGTATAAAGAAAGTAGGACTACGAAGACTACACGCTTGTATACTCAATACCGCGTGTCGCGTATGGATTTATGCAGGAGTTATCCTTTACACAACTCCTTAATCCAGCCAAGCCATGTACTCCAAGACTTCTCGATAAATGATCGGGATAAACTCCGGTTATAACTAAATAAGGCACTAGCCTGTAACACTAAAGTCCAAATTTCTTCATGATACCCACCTACTAATCAAGAGGTTGTTCAATTTTCAAGTTTCTATGTATTTATCTGTTAAAAACACCTTAGATCTATCAATCTTATCGACAGTCAAGATTGCTTCTGACGATGGACATTCGTGGTATTTGTGGTAGATCCGATGGGAAATGGTCAGATTGTACGGGAATAGGGCGTGTAAATTTGTTATGGACTCGACATATTTTCTATACAAGAACGTATCTAATTCTGTTCACTGGTATTTTCATTGTCTCATCTCCTAGTTTAAGGCTTACGACTTCATTCTCGCTGCGGCAAGTCTGATAAATAAATAGATAGCTGAATACAATATGATTTAATAGAGGTATTGGTCGTGAGTCCTACTCTTGGGACTTTGGTCAATGAAGGAACCTGAGAACACTCAGGAATATCATCAAGTACGTGAATAATATGAAAAGAATCTAAAAATCCTGTTGCAAAGTGCTTGTGTTTGATTTGTATTCATTATCCTGATCTGGCGCCCTATGGGCCCATGCAGGTGGCTATTGACCTATCCATATATTTATATAGGAGAAAAACTCTCGGTGAAAAACCCCCAAGCTTTCTGATTTAATTCTTAGAGTTTGCTATTTATCCTTCAGGAAGCACAGTTACACTATAACGCCTTTGATGTGTACCAATCACGTCCCTTATATCGACCCCAGCCTTGTACATATTCCGTCTCGTTCCCTGAGTAGCATTTCGACTGCATTTGTCCTGCGGAATTGTTCTATCCAACCATGATTAAGAATCCATCGTAAGATTCTTTTCATATCGCTGGGATTGTTGGACATTGCTTCAAAAGAGCGATTTCGGGCTTGTCTCCAGATTTCTCCTCTACCGATTGACCACTTAGGGCAGGACATGATCATGTGCTTGGGGTTTTGTGATTGGAAGCCACACGGACAACTTGGGTGATAAACTCTTACTACATTTCTTCTGTGTAAATAAGAATTGAGCCCGATATGCTCGCTTCTAATTTGGATTGCTAAGCTACTTTGGGCCCTCGTCAGGTTTTTGTGGAGAGAAAATGGTGACTCCTGGAAGCTTATTTTAGTACCTCCAGAATGGCGGCATTGGTAGAACTTTGCTGCTGCCCAAGTTTTAGGATCTGCTGAAGCAAATCTTTTAGGCTGTCGAGTTCGCTTTGTGGCTGACCAAGATTTCGCCCATTCCAGGTACGCTGCAACCCTTACCGCTTCTTTTTGTAAGTCCTTGGATTTCTCCGCTCCGCAAATCTCTTTCCAGTATGCAAGGTCTGCTCTTCTATTATGTGCTCTAATATCTTCCCTTCCTCTTCTGGGAAGCTTTATTTTACTACATGCTGATTGGATAGTCTTTTGGACTGGTAGACAACTTGAGCGGCCTATATACTGAGCCCTTTGTTGCTTCAAGTAGATTTCCATCGGAAGAGTGGCAGTTTCATGTTCCAGCACCCTGGTGCTAGAAAATTTGTATGCGCCAGTTACTACTTTCAGACAATTTCTTTGAGAGCTTCGAAGGGGTTTGACTATCCTTTCGGGTATTCTATCTCCTGGGCCGGAAAGTGCTTGTGTTGTTTACCAGGCCAGGAATATCTCTGTGTACACAAGTGAGGGGTTCATGCACACTAGTGGGTATTCCAATGTATTTTCTAGTCTAACCGAGAAAGGAAGAATACCGGAAATCCTACGGCCAATAGATGCTTATGTAAATATTTTGGGGTATGCAGATTTCTACCAATGACTAATGCATCTGTCAATGGTGTCCCACATGAACCTCCAGCTCTCACTGTAAAGTCTGCAGGGCTGAGATTGAGTAACACCTTTACAACCCTAAACTGGGTTATCTCGCCCTCCGTCAAAAATGCAATTCCAATAACTCATAACACATAAAACGGCCAAGACGATTATAATGATGCCGGGAAAGAGAAATATATTGTGGTACCAAACGCTACAATGGCAGTCAGAAGCCCTCGTTATGTCACAACATGTGCTACCCAACGACGGGCGAACAAAAAGCTCACCAATACAAAGTAAAAGACCCTTCCGCCCTCAAGAAAAGTAGATTTCGACTCGTCAAAAATATAGTCTCTTATAACCTTTAATTCCGAATCTACTAGGCTTGAGGGCATTTGAAATACATGGGTTACTCGACAATACCACTTCCATAACCACTTTGGGATGCTAGGCTACGCTCCTTCACGGCAGTCACTCATGATAAAAAGTTTTCTGAGATCCCTTTACGACCTTCGGTTTGTCCTCTGACATGAAAAATGGGAAGAGCAAGGACGGTGATTAGAGGGTTGAGAGACGCTCTTAGGTATACATAGGTCTGCTACGCCCAGCTGGCCGGCCTCTTCGTCATAGGAGAGCCCCGTGGCTAGTGGTTTTTGAGACTTTTCCCTACCGCTATACAACCGCAGATGGCAATCGTTTTGTTGGTTGGAGAGGGGAGATAATGACAGGATAACGGCACCTCTTAATGTGTACTTGAATGAAGACCTATGGAGGTATTACTGCTGGAAAGATATTACGAAGGAGGCATAAATACCCCCAGAATGTAGGCAGAAAGGACCTACATGTCCTTACATAGTCATAGATTCATTTGGACAATAAACAATGACTCACTCATCAATGAGTAATGATATGGGTCAATCATATGTCATGGTGCGTGCACATTATTCAAACGAAAACGGTTCACTGCAATGCCGTCATGCCACTTCCTTCACTACATCGATAGTCTTAGCCGACACGACTTCATAGGCCTCAAAATAAGCTCCCACTGATGTACGATCTAAGTCAAAACCCAGATAAGATCCTTAAAAAAGATGAGCCTTTTTTGGGTACTAAAGCTGAGACATAAACTGTGGAAGGCTAAATTTATATACTAATCTTATATTTTCTTAAATCGATTGTGTCTCGATTGATATTGATGGTTATATCTAATGAGACTCGTAGAACAAGTGTACGAAGTGAACTTGGATAGCCCCTGAAATAAAACAATGAGCTTACTAGGGAATAGATAAGTAACTCCCTCATAGAATATGCCAGGATATTCCAAAGGTGTTTTGATAGGACAGAGCTTTTCTTGAGCAGGTCCTGTAATACATCACTAGACACCTCTGGAGACGATTCGAACAGCGATCTTTAAATTTTAAATTTTGGAGATTGTATAGACCCACATAAATAAAACGCAGATAGCCCCCGTGTTAGCTAAAGAAGGTAAATCTAATGAGAAAAAACAGATGCTTACAACAGAATTGCAGAACATCCAACAGCTAGCATCAGCCGTGCATTGGAAACTTTCGCGCGCCCGTAGCGTACTCAACTGCAATAGAATAACGTCTCGGAAGTATCAATGAAAATACATTTTATAACCCAGAAGTGGGACTGAAAGCTTTGCTGAGGGGTTTTCCTTGCAATCCTAAATATAGGCAACCTGAACGCTCACTCCTGGCGAGGACTGACGGCGACTCTTGTCAGGGCAAAATTCAGGCTACTCTCACTGTATCTCTGATACAGACAGAGTATAATTATCTACGTTCAAGGACAGATCAACCATGGCGATATGTGTAACCTTTTTGTAAGCAGATTTGTGCTTGCATAAGTCTGGAACCAGTCCAAAAGCGAAAGTATGATCTCCGACCAGACATATCGGACTAGTGATGATGCTCCGGGGCCTAATTGGGGATAGGATTAGATGTTATAGTGCTACGATGGAATCATAGCACGAAGTTAACCATCATTTATAAAAATTTAACGCCAAGAAGGCACACAGGATAACCCCGTCCTCTAAGTCCTCTAGAGAAAGTTTGGCGTAAAAGTAAACTGTTATTCAGTCTTATATTGACTCTCATCTTCTGAATATTCACCTTATTTCACACGAGGCTCTCTCCTAGTTTTACACTCATTATATAAAACTCAGCCACCAGGGAACCTAGCCTCAATCTTCAATTTAGAATTTAAAATGACTAAAAGACTACCTTGTAAAAATTCACTTTTCTAAGCAGCAAAACATCTCGAGCATATGTGACGTATTTAATACTCTCAAGGAGAGAGAGATAGAGATAAGTTTACTGTGTTACTTGAGTCTAAGACTATCTAGCACATTTGTTTCTTCTCTGACCCAGGCCACATTTTGCACAGTGCTCCTATCCTCTTATTTTACTTCAAAGATCATTGATATATTGCCCGTGATGAATGGTCATTCAGCTCATAATCTTAAGGAACCAATGCTATTTACCTCAAAAATATTAACGGAGAACTATTCTTTAAAGATGGAT